GACAGCAAGAAATCATTTAAATTATATCAAACTATTTTAATCGGAAGTGAACCAAGAGCTAAATTTGATATCAGATCGATAAATTACTCATGAGCTGGACATTTAGATGGAAAGTTGATCGATATAATAAATTTAAATGTCAATTCGAATGCAGAAGGATGCTGAAGGCAAAAGACGGAGTTATATATATCTTAGTAACATGATTCACACGGTCGTCTGGTTCTGGTGGGTAAAGCCGACCTCCTAAGGACTCCTAAAGTGTAGGAGTATAACAGGAGGGGTAGGAAGCAATAGGGACAGGGACAGGGCCGTGAGCAAGGGTAATTGATGTTGAATGTCATGTTAAAAATTATCTCCAGGGTAGGCCTAGTTAAAAAATGGAACAAATCATTTTTTAAAAGACTGCTTCAAAAATCAATTACATTAATTAAGATTCACCTGTAATGACCCATCGTCTGTCGATGGCTTTCCGATGGATTTGAACCCGGGAACTGTAAATATTCTCGCTGGGATGTCTTCTATTATTAGAAACTGCAGTAGAGTATTCATAAACGGATCCGATATATGAATGTCGTCCGGTAATGAAGGAAATTGCGTTACTACAGTATTAAAAAATAAAATAAAATGATGAGATATCTATCGTAGGACTAACTATCACAAGGCAAAATTCTCAATCGTTACCACTCATCGACATAATCTGTTATAATTATTTTTCATCCCCATCATTGTCACCACCACCACCGTGACCATTCATTCTCATCAACATCATCGTTGTCATCATTAACGTCACCATTGTCATTATCATCATCTCATCATCAACAGTTAATACCATCAAACATCATCATCTTCATCATCAACATCATCAATCATAAATCACCACTACCAGTTCCCGATATTCTACTCAAACATTATGGGGGAAGGGGGTGGTGTGGTGGTGTAGACGGGAAGGTAATGGTTAGTACTCATATTTCTTCATACAGTTATTCATACCTTTTGGGCATCGAAATGTGTTCTCGTGAAGACCCTTAATTTTGTGTGCGTACTTCCGGTCGTCAATATGAATGGCGGCAACAACCGTAATCGTTTCAACTTCACTGAAACGATTGCAGTAAAAGAACACACGTTAATTAATAAAAATGCTTTAAATATCAATAAATTGTCGCCAACTCTTATGATAGCAGTCTTCATCCCAAGTACCTCCATTATTTATCATCATAATGGACCTAGGCTTAAATTAATATTTCACTACTTATTTTTAGTAAATTTGTATTGTTCGCTCTCGTTAACTTCTGCATCAGTTCCTGAATGTTTTAAAGTAGCTATTGTGTCACATTGATTTTGTACCCCAGGACATCCCCTCCTCAACTTTACCCCCTGTTTTGCTTCGTGCATGAGGCCAAACGTCCTAATGTGCAATAAGGAATCGTCATCATAATCATCATAGTTAGCATCGACGTCACGATCCTCATCATGAACATGGGAGACATCTTTTCCAGAAAGAAGAGGTTACCGATCATAGAGTGGCGGCTCTAGGATATTTTCTTGAAGGGGGGGGGGCTAAGCTGTCTGACAGGGGAGACTTAAGCTCGTAGGCCCGAGCTGGGGGAAGGGTTTAAGAGGGGGAGTCCCCTACCAAATGATTTTTTTTCTAAAGAATAGGAACCTCGGAATGGCCGGAAATGGCACTCTCAGACTGTTACAGACATGTGTTGGCTTGCCGTGGGCCTATTTTTATATTTTTTATGGTCTGACGAGCTCTCCGATGGGGGAGTTTGACTTGACCGGTGGGGCTTAAGTCCCCTGCCTCTGCTGGTGCCGCCAATGTGATCTTACCCAAACGTGTCAAATCGTTTAGACCTACCTGCTTTCGTCACAATGGTTGATAATTTCATTAATCACGTGGTGACATGCGGTGTCTTTCAGCTGAGTGTTGACTACTACAATGGACAACTATGAAGTCACATTTGAAATATAACAAACAAATAAATCAATTACAATTCATACCAGTACATTCTTTTCATTCGGTTTAAAAATGCTAAAAATATAACTCATGAAAAATATACAAAAGGAAGACAAGATAGGCCTAAAAGACCTAAATACGGCACGGTTGATAAATTAAATGTCATTACTATTGGAATATTACTTTTACAATTCTTGAAGTCGGATAATAAATCATATTCAATTGGGCATATTTACAAAACTATGTTATTTTTATATATACACTTATAAAATTAGTATACAATATCCATATAGACCTATTCAGAAATGTATAAATATAGATAATAACAGATATCGAATTTAAGTGATACACAGAGCTCATGTACTGTACTTTTCAAGAAGTAATGCGGGCTCGTAAACTCTTTCGTAAACCATGCGTAAACACATGTTACAGGTAACTACACATCCGACTTACCTGTTCGTAAGCACAATTGAGAACCTGTATGGCCGCTGGATCTGTGTCCATGGGTTTGATTGGTCGTTGGCGCGTGCAAGCCGGCAGGTGCTGATGAAGGACGCGGATGTCCAGCGAGCGTCTCTCCACTTTGTGGTCAATACTCAGAGCCGCACGACTAGGAAAGGAATAATTCATGATAATATCATCAATGAAGATAATTAATGAAAGTACGATGAGTTTGTTAGATTGGCAGCTTGCCATTTAAAATATCGATCATGAAGTACTGTATGTTGCTACAAAATTATAATTGAGGCTATTCAACATTGTGTTAACGAAGTAAACAATTAACACTTGCTTTAAATAGATGAATATGACCAATATAGGCCTACACAAGAAATGCCTAGGGCGGATTGTCCCCATTTTCACGCATCCATGGAAATATACCCTTACGTGTAAGTTTTTAGTATACTACTCATGGGTGAATGGGTTATCGTAGGCATTTGTCTTAAGTTTCGCACACTAGACCCATGGATGCCCTGGGTAGCCGGGCCTCCTATAAGCGCGCAGACTATTTTTCTTATCCATTGCTTGCGAACATTTACAATAGAGCATTGAATTAATCACAAACCTTTATTCATAGTAATAAGATAACAGTAAATATGATTTGTATAGCGCTCGTCCATTTTAAAGAAATGCTTAATAAGGCGCTTGAGATAATAAACAGAAGAAACCTGAAAACAATGTTCATTCATTCACAGCTCATGTTGACGTAGTAATAATGCCGCGTTTCGCATTGAATACATACGTTACAAGTCAACACCCGCAAGTGTTCAAAAGTTCGGATATCTGAACAATTCTGAACACAATGATGGATCTGTCCTACCGAGAAGAAAGGATTGGCAATCAACAAATCCCACGAAGTTGTGCGTAACGGTTTTTGTCTTAATTCCAATTCGGAGACTTAAAATGAAGCTGCAGTTAGGTGCGGCCTGACAGTAGTCTAAATTTCGGCAAATGCGATTACGATTGTCTTCCGAAAAAAAAAACCATTTACGCATTTCAAAGACACATCTGTTATTTTTTTTTATAAGTACATCTATTCGTCTTTGAATGGGAATTCACTAAACAGTGAAAAGTAAATTACAACTCTCATGTTACATTTAAGTCATAATAGCTTCATACTTAAAATAAATTAATAATTCTATATTACCGTATGTATTCAAATACTTTTAAAATTACCATGATTCACCATACAAAATATAGGTCTATAGTATTAAACTAACTAAAGCATAAACGTGTAATTCAAAAGTTACAGAAATGCGTTGTGCGTGGAGCATGACGGCCAATCAAATCTATCATTTTACACATGTGACAGTCGTTAAAAGTGAATTTACTAACCTTCCGGCTGCAGCAATATCTGTATACGCAAGTACCACGTGGTTTTTAAACATGACGTAGTTAGCTTACTTTAGATAAATGATATTGGTCCTCCCGTGTGTATATCCAAGCCAACTGGAGACGTCAACTACCATTGCCTTCCAGAACAGAACACCATAACCTCGCAGACACTGAAGATATGCGGTTGCGCCGGTTGTAGTGTATTTTTCCCAACCAAAGATAAATAGGCAATAAAGACAAACACAATTCTGGTACAAAGGGTGCCCGTGAGAAATATGGAAGAGGCAATAGAGTGACAAACGCGCCGCTGGTACAAAAGGTACACAGAGCCAACACGGTGTGTGCAATACAATTAAGGATTCACTGGTTCCACCCTAAAGTGTCCGATTACTGCCCAGGTAACCTCTCTCGACAGCTTGTTTGCGGATCAACTCTCGATAACAATGGTTAAGTAGTTAAGTCATGCAGTTCCATAGTGTCATATCAACTTCTCACAGCGTAATCGTCACCATGGCGATGGAAATCTCATTACTGTACAACCAATAAAGGATGGCGATAAAAATAATTTCCAATGACTTCTAAAGTTAGACTCATTCAGTCTTTGAATTGAATTGAATTTGAATTTTTTAATGAAATTGTCATTAAGGATGAATAACACAAATGTGATTTACAATGGCCCTGATTCCCACACTTTTTTCCCTGGACCCAACTGTGATTTCTCAAAATCCCCGAAATTACTTGACATTGGTATTATCCATATTTTGACTTTTTATCAGTGACCCCGGATCCAGGAATTCACAATATGGGCCCACCTGAGCCCCACAATGGTTGGGGCTGAGTAAGAAATTTCTGATTATGGCACCTCAAGTTTGAAAAATGTGGGGGTTGGGGAGGAGCGGTGTCCCGGCTAACCCAGGAACATCTTCCGCTCCCTTTTAACCCGGGGACATGTTCCCCTCCCTTCTAACACTAATACTAATTCTAATAACTAGAGAATTTGTGTAGCCCAAGCCTGGCTGACCCAAAATCTAAAAAAAAAAAAAAAAATCTAGTACAGTTGTATAGGAGCGACTTTCTGGCAGAAAATATTTTCCTTCTGTAGTTACCATTATATCAATCAACTAACATACAAGGGCACAGCTGTACGCATTTGCATAGGTACGCATTTGAATGTTTCGTTATGAGCAACTTTTGTATTTGTTTCCCTGGTTTGCCATCACTATTCAATATGTTTTCTGGATTGTAATGTATCATGCATTTACAGCTTTTTGTCAACGTACCACAAATAATCGCCCATAACCAGGGTCGACGGATGGGGAAGAGTACACTGTTGTTGCAGTGTTCTCGATAGGTGCGTACCCACTCCAGCCTAGACAGAAAAGTCTAAATATATGGGAATAGAGAACAGGAGAATTTTTAGTGCCCCTTTTGGAAAGAAAAAAAAATAGAAATAAAAACGAAATTATTGATTGTCCAAGATGCTTCAGAGGTTATTTCAAGGCTTCTAGAAAAAAAATAGTCGTCTCTCGAAACTTTTTTAAAACATAGCTGTAGGAACCTTAGCAATGTCCCTTTACTGCACAGGGCTGGCTAGTCTGTATCCCAGTTTGTCCATATTTACACACCCTAATCCCACCAATCCTGGATAAGGCACTGGTCATAAACACAATACAGTACCATATCTATAGAGCTAGAACACACGCTAGAACGCTTCAAAAGTAAAAGGATTGCCTTAGGCGCAACCAACAGCTGTCCCACTTTTATCTCATCCTCTTTTGCAAGTCAGCATTGAGTATCATTCAACCCTTGCATTTGTACTTTACTGTAGTCCACCACTGGAAATCAAATGGAGTAAACATAGTTTGTATTGACAATGCATCCCAATTACACAAGTGTGATCATGGTTTTATAAAACAAAATCACAAACAGAATTCATGAATACATTTTCAATTTCATACCTTTATTCCATCTAAGTACTCCAACTCTTAGATGTATAAAAAATGTCAAATATTTACATTGGATAATACAAGACAGGTGAGCATTAAGATTAATGGAACATTAAAATCTATATAAAAAAAGCAGGTTATTGCCACAACTTCAAAAGTGGGAAGTCAACTTGGACAGTCTAAATCATGGTGATTCGTATTCACCAGTTTGTTGGATGGTTTGAGTTGAGTGAAAATTAATTACTGGAAAATAAAATAACTGAACAACTGTCCAAGAAATAAATTATGAACAAAAAATGTTTTATAAATTAAGAAATGTTTGAGCATTAAACTAATCTAAAACTTTTGTTATAAGGATTAATTAAAATAGTTTTTCAGTGGAAAGTTTCATAGTCCACACTGTATTGAATATCTGATGGCTATTTGTTTCTCCCTCCCCCACAAAAAATAGCCAAATTAAAAATAACTACACTCTACAAGATCATTACATTCAGAATTCATAAGCTTAATTGTAAATCCACACTCCGCAATGTCAAGTTGCTTCACACCTAAGATACTTGGTAGAGTTGCTCACATATACACATTTAAATTTACGCATTCTTTCATTCTTGCTGAAGCTTTCCCCTATACAGATACATGTCTTGTGATAAATTTACAGTTTTTATCATAAATTTAGTTAATCATCAGACTGGACGTCACTGAACGCTGCTTGACACAAGTACAATTTGAACTTGTTGGTTCAATTGAATGTTCTTTGCTAATCATTTTAAGAGACTGCAAAAAGAGTACTGTCCAGGATATAGTCTAAGTTTAGATGCTGCTCAACTTAATCATCAAATTTGATCTTTTTGTTTTGCCCTCCACCACCAAATGACGGCCTCTTGTTACCACCTAAGATAAAAAAAAATTCAATTCAAGTATCTTGTCATATCAGGATCAGTTGCTTATACAGTTGAAATTGTGCAAGTCAACTTTGCCTACCTCGAATAATTTTGAACTTGATATATTTTAAATGGCAAACTGTTGTGTTTTCCATCAATTAACAATCTGCAAGTCCAACAAATTTTCATGTCATATTTTATTTGACTTAAGCAAGTTCAACTGTATAAGCAAAATTTTAGGAATCGTTTCAGTGTCTAAATTACTATGGTAGCATGATTAATTCTCCTCGGTTCACCCCCCATTTAAAGTAAAGTACAATCTCTTCTCGTATATAGTAAAGTACAATCTCTTCTCAGTTTCACCCCCATAAAATGCAAGGTACAATCGCCAAATAAATATCATTAAAATATACTCCGACACACAGTCACTTTAATGTGTAATGTACTGCTCTATGTATCTAGTGTGCAAATGACCATTAACTATGGATTGTCTAATCACAATGTTGACTATTTACATTCTATGCATGACCAAATAACTTAGCCTAGGTATGTCTATAGTTAGTAAGAAACTCCCATATGGCATTAGGTAGCAATGTGTGATCAATTTTAAATTTTATAATTTAAGAACACCCCTTAGTTGTTAAAGGTTGTAAAATTGACATTTTCTTGTAAACGTTTTTACAAAGCAGTTTACTTTGTACTTGTGTAAACAAAAAATTGACATTTTCTTGTAAACGTTTTTACAAAGCAGTTTACTTTGTACTTGTGTAAACATATTTGTATGCAGGAACTATGTTGTATAATGCAGTTTATCAAAGCTGTAGCCTGGATGATTTTTGATTTTCATTCTGACAGTGGGCCTGGGCACAATTCACATAGAGCACAAGGACTCTTTACTCAGCATCTTGGAGCATATTATTATTGTATTATTATCATTATTATTATTATTATTATTATTATAGCTTGCGATTACTTCTTGGCAGAAGGGAAAGAAAAATTTTTTTTTATCTTACCATATCCGCCACTGCCACCTCTGAAACCGCCGCCACCACGGCCACCTCTACCACCACGGAAACCACCACCACGTCCTCCTCTGAACCCACCGCCACGGCCCCCTCTGAATCCACCGCCACGACCTCCGCGGAATCCACCCCCTAGAAAATGTGACCAAACATCAAGATTCAATAACAATGTTCAATAAAATCGCACGAGTAAATGTTTTCAAAGCAATTTGACAATAGCGTACGCATTGAATGTTGAACTTACCTCGTCCACCACCACCAAAGCTATCTCTTCTTGGTTTTGCAAGATCGATGGAAACATCAGTGTCGTCAATCTGTAGTCCATCGCTGTTGTCTGCCAAACATTTCTTTGCATCAGCTTCAGATGCAAAGTCAACAAATGCAATTCTGAGGTAAAGAAAATCACAAGAATTGAACCTTCAACCATGATAAAGGCGAGACCAGCAACAAGTCTAGTTGAAAATGATCGTTATATTTGCAATGTGGTTTTAAACCAAAATAAATAAATTTAATAATAAATAATTTTTGCATGTCACTTTTGTTGAGTATGTGCTTGCTGGAGATATTAAATAAACCAAATCAAACAATAGACCTACCCTTTAGGTTCACCAGTATCCCTGTCTGTTGGAATACGAATTGAATTGCCTCCAATAGCCGACCTTATGGAATCTTCAGTTGTCTCCGCTGACAAACCTCTCAACATGACAGTTTTCTGTTCTGTTGGCAAAATCATCTATGCATTAGTCTCATTAACATTTAGTAGACAAAAGCAATTAATGCCACAAAACCAGTTAGGCCAATGGAAATATAAAAATCATAAAACTTCAAAGCAGCAAACTGCTATTGTAGATTTTCTGTACTTTGAAATCCAATTAGAATGTTTACTGCTTAATTCAGCATATCTACATAACACGTTTGTTTCTCCTATCTCAATAATAATAATAATAATACTTTACTTACCACCACCACTACCACCACCACGACCACCAAATCCACCACCACCAAATCCACCACCTGAAGCACTTCGCTTGTCACCAACGTAATCAAGGAAGATACTCCTGCCCTCTAATTCCGTTCCTTGGTGTTCCTCAATGGCCGCTTTCACCTCCTCTTCCGTTGAGAACTCCACATATGCAAACCTGGAAATATATTTCACAAATTCTTTCAACAATTTAACAGTAAGCTACTTCTTGGGATAATATATAAATATATTATTATCTTGTATAAGCTTTTTTAGCATTATACTTTAGTCGTCATCTCACCCTTTGCTACGTCCATAATCGTTCTTTGGGATTCGAACATCCTGGGCACTGAAATGTTCCATGATGGTGCTTTCAACTGTGTCATAGTTCAAACCCTTAACGAACATTGTCCTGTCATCAGATCCCTTGCCTCGTTCTGTGAATTAAAAAAATATTTATCAAAAGATAGTTGCACTTTGCATCAATTTCAAATCATCATGTAAACAAAGTACCTCATGCATAGATTCTAGGCATCTGATTGGTTAAGAAGCAGGGCAATAGGAAGTACTATTCCCCTTAAAAATAAAACTTTGACCTGTCGCGATGCACAAACTCTGATCCCACTACATTGTGCTGCTGACGGTAAAGGGGACTGCGACCTCTACGATGAGATTATCCCCTGACAGCGTCACAGATCAGCGGGGAGACGATAAACAAATATGGAGGCTGCTCGTTTTGAGATGAAGGAGGACTAGCAACTTACCTCTACCTTGTTGCCTTGGTGTACCTTGGCCACCATCTGTTTTAGGTGGGTTAGCCCGGTCAATTCGGATGGCATTGCCTTCCACTTCTGAGCCATGAAGCTCCAACAGCTTCTTGAAATCTTCCTCCGAAGACACATCTACATAGCCAAACCTGTAGACGGAAGATAGCACATTTTAATCTATCCAAGTTTAGTCTCTCAAGTTAGCATCAGATTCCATTGCTATCTTCACTGATCAAATAGGTAATCATTACATTCAATCACGTTAAAGTATTGAAGTATCGCAAGTTAACAAATTCAAACATGCTTTACAGTTGAACTTGTCGAAGTCAAATCCAAAATGCCATAGAAAAATTGTTCGATAAAACTTGACTTGCAGATTGTTAATTACTGGAAACAACAATTTGGCATGTAAAATAAGTTCAACTTAAAAATTATTCGAGTTAAGTAAAGTCAACTTAGGCAAGTTAAAATGCATTTACCTTCGCTTTGGTACCAGTCTTGTATTCAAAACTTCAACTCCATGTTTCTTGAAGAACTTCACTAGCACACTTTCCTCAAGATCGGGGGAGAGTCCACCAATAAAGACTGGAATTGGTTCTGAAGAGATATAAAGAAAGAATAAAATCAACTAAAAATTAGAGTATATTACAATATCAATTAGTCATTCTCTCGGAAAAGGTTATAACAGCATATAATCCATAGTGCCTTTGATAAGTTGCACAGTGCTTGTGTTGAGAGCAGGTTATTACTTACTGATCAACAAATTTCTCAACAGATTAAATAATACCAAGGTTGCAACAAGTTACATATCCTAATCATAGAAGTGCCAGAGATCTTATTCGGTCTAACCAAACACAAATACAAACGTCTTCTAACCAAACACACATACAAACGTCTTCTAACCAAACACACATACAAACGTCTTCTAACCAAACACACATACAAACGTCTTCTAACCAAACACACATACAAACGTCTTCTAACCAAACACATACAAACGTCTTCTAACCAAACACACATACAAACGTCTTCTAACCAAACACGCATACAAACGTCTTCTAAACTACTAGTGCACTATGTCCGGTCATGCCTTTAAACAGACTGCTAAGATCTTTTACAGTCTATTCCTAAATAAATGACCGATTTATTCTAGTGTCTTGTGTAAAGCAATGACATTGCAACTGAACATCATTCATCAAGACTGGTTACAAAACACATCTTTTGAGAATACTGTATATATTAGGCCATCATTTGAACATCTTCATATGGTAAGGTAATCTCATGACATACCTCCACCCTTGTCAGCCTTCTTTTTCTTCTCGGCTCCATTAGTTCCTTTGGACTTTTTGACTGGTGGCTCATCTGAAATTTATTATTGGAAATTGTTAATGTAGAACTCATCATTATTCATTTAGCTGTCAGTTTTCATCATAGATATGGTCAATGGTCACATTTTTATAGCAAATTCCACAGTAAAACCATCTTAGTCACTAAGCTAAAAATACCCATTTCTGTAACTTTGGGAAACTGTCTTACCTTCATCCTCCTCTTCATCATCGTCATCCTCATCATCATCTTCCTCATCATCATCCTCTTCCTCTTTTGCTACCTTTTTCTTGGCAGCTGGTTTTTCCTCCTCTTCACTGTCATCATCGTCGCTTTCCTCCTCAGACTCTTCCTTGGCAGCCTGTTTTTTCTGCGACACCTTTGCAGGTGTTTTCTTGGCTGCCTTCTTTGGAGGTTTCTCTTCTTCCTCTTCCTCTGATGACTCTTCATCTGAAGATTCTTCCTTTGCCTTTTTGGCTGCAGCTTTAGGAGTTTTTATCTGAGCTTTTGGTGCCTCTTCTTCACTTTCTTCATCACTGTCATCATCGCTGGATTCCTTCTTGGCTTTGGCCTTTTGTGCAGCTGCCTTTGGGGTCTTTTTCTTCGTCTGAGCCTTTGGTGGTTCCTCTTCCTCGCTGTCATCATCGTCACTGCTTTCTTCAGCCTATGAAACAATATTTATTTTTTTATTTCCACAATACAACTTTTGATTGATTTTTCATGCGATTAATAGACAAATCCACAAATTAAATGTAATGTTTGATTACCTTAAATGACATAACCAAATTACACATACCTTAGCGGGCTTCTTTGTTACCTTGGCAGCCTTTGGTGTTCTAGGGGGAAAATCAATCAGATTTGGTGAATTAAATTCTTATTTTCAACAAATATATATGCAACATGGTCAATTTATGTCATGTTCTCAGACAAATGCCTCGTACTAAATCATCAGCAAGTGCACCGATTTGAATGGATGTGGTTACACTCTCTAGTAAACGACAGTCATCACAGAACTAAGATTAAGGGTGGTTTAGATACAATTATACCTGATCAAGGCGTGGATGCAATAATAAAATTTAGAGGGAATTTTTAAACCACCATTAAAGTACAATATGGGGGCCATTAATACAAGTCCAGAATTTCACTTTGTTCACTGCATTATGTTAACAGAACTTACTTCTTGGTTGGTGGGGGAGCAGCTACTTCCTCTTCAGAGCTCTGGGGAAAAAATCAAAATCTTGCTATACATAACTGTTCATACCAGTACTTTAACTAGGCCATCCGAAAAAAGTTTTACATTTTCGTGTATTTATAGACTTGTTGCATGCAGTACATTCTTTAATTTCCTATTTTGGGAGATACGTACAGAAGGCAAACACAAAACAACAAAAATGGAGGTAATATTTTAACTTGTAATTAACAACTTTATCGTTAAAGCTTTTAAATTCTGATTTTACTTCAAAATTTGAATTAATCTGTAATGACATTGCTTTTATTTTGAACTTTTTTATATGTTTAATTATGGAGTGATTGATTTTTAAGTATAACTGCATATTTTATTGTATTGTCTTTTAATGCTTTCACCACCTTGACACTGTTTTATTGTGAATGCACATGTGCCAATTATGCAAATGTGTAGATTTCAAATAAAGATAGTATTACACATTTTTACAATGATGGTCATGTCTCAGAGCCAAAAATTATCAGCAACTGGTATGGCAGCCAAAATACCTGGCACCTTCCATCTGCCTCGTCATCTTTGTCATCATTGAAAACCACACACAGAACTGTAACAGATAATTTATTCATAAACAAATTGAGAAACAGCACCTTACCTCTTCCTCACTGCTTTCTGGTTCTACTGGCTTTGGTGGCAGCTTCTTCTGTTTCTTAGAGGAGACAGGGGTCTGAATAAAGAAATGGATGGCATAAATAAGATAATTTGCTACCTCAACCTAGTATAAGCATAAGCATGGACGGCAGAGCGAGTGTATATATGCAAAAGTTGAGGAGCTAGCAAGTAAATAGAAAAATTTAGCAGATAGAGGCTATCAAATGTACGCCACAGTATCAAAACACTAGCAATCAATCAAATGTTCTTTTGACAGTACTTTACCACTGAAACCACCACACAAAAGAGATTTCACAGAAAAGGATTTATAATTCTTAGTTTATACTTTCGAATTTTTGTGTCTACTGCCCTTTGGGCAGTAGACACTTTGTTATCCTGGTCAATCCGGAAGCGTAAAGTTGACATTGTGAGCGCGAGTTGACGTTCACAAAAGTGTGAATAAGAATCCGGAATTGTAAAGTTGACATTATGTCACATTCGTGACGTGTGATATAACGTGATAGTACTACTACCCGTAAACTCGGTCGTGTGTGGTACGATGCATTGCTAGCCAATTCGTCATTATATATGGAGGTGCACAGTTCCGAAAGTTGGAAGTTAAAATTAAATCGAGTAGAAGTGATGAAACGGGTCAACAGTTGAACTCCGCTCAGGTCGACTTTTGCTTGTGGTTATTCCCGTTTTTTTCCCTACCCTAACTCGGTGGTTTTGGAGTTGATGCTAGCTTATTAACAATTTCAATCATCAGTCAGTCTGCACAAATTGGAAAGCCTGGATAATAATAAAAAGCACCGTTTCTATTAAATTTGGCAGTAGACACACACTCCCGCTGCGAGCCTATTTTTTTCTTTTTAAACTCACCAAAATTTTTTTGAATTCACTCATGCATGGTTAAAAACAAATAATTTCCGTTTTAAATTAGGTAGCAGGTACAGTACTTACTCAGTGTGGCTTACCTTGACGGACATTGGCCGAGGCGGAATACACATCACACGGTCAAAACAAGAACCAGTGAATGGTGGACTTCCGTATCGCCGTGGCAACCCAAATTGCCATGCCTCAAGTCTAAGCCACGCAAGACTTAGCTACAACCATTTATTCGTACCGAGCCATTTCAAATATATGCACATGGGTGCAATAACCTTACCAAGATGGGTCTCGCAAAACCCATCAACCATCACCAAGCTGCCTTCAGTTTTATCATCATACAGTAGTGAGCTGCGCAATGCTCACTTTCTACAAAAACTTCTTAGCAGAAGTTTGATCCACCATACAAATGGCCACGCAAGACCATCTACCTTCACTCGATTTCCTCAATGCAATATTACTTATTTAACCTTTAAAAATGTTTTTTTCAAATGAGGTAATTTTGATAAAAATAATTGTATTTGTAATTTCTTTCATGCACAATTTTGGAAATTTCAAAACAAGCAGTAAAGAAATTGGTGGGTCTGAAATTGTTTCAATTGTATTTCACACTTTTTTACTATTTCTTGGAAATTATTAATAAATTAAATAAGCCTAGGCCCAAATTAAAATACAAAAAAAAATTTTTGTTTGAATTCAGCATGACTTGTTTATTTTCCTCAATATTTGCATCCACTTTCACCAACATTTTATTTACTGTACTAGTAGGCTTCAGCTAGCTACCTAGACAGATCCAACTGTGTGTGATGGTAGTCTATGGATTAGTAGTACTAGTAGAGGCTTTGGCCTAGGCCTAGCTAGAATTAGGCCTAGAAATTGAAATTTTATTTAAACCCCTATATACACACGCCTAGCTAGGCACACTAGGCCTATGAAAATTTTGATCAAACGATAAAAGATACTGATGTGGCCAGAACATATTTAAAGGTTAAGTAAGAATAAATTATGTTTTCTCAGTATACTATGGCGACCAAGCCTATGGCCAACTCCAGCCCCATCCAACCATGTGGCATTGCCTCCACTGTCATCAAGTTCTCATGGCGTCACTTCACAGACCTCGTGTTGCTACAGACAGGTAGAATGTACACTGCACACGGCTTGCACACTTCCAGACAAATTCTCTGTATAATCACCTATATTTCACGATCAACAAAACGTATCATATTTGATACTAAACTTCAAACACAAATTTGATGTATTAGCAACATCCTGTTTGCTTACTTTTTGCTTCTTGACGACCATTTTTGCAATTTTTACTTGGACCTCTGAAAACGACGTGCTGAAGATTGAAGCGTTCGATTTAAAAGGAAGAGCACGAGAGCGTGGTCGGCGGATATGTCGTCGGACGACACGAGGTTAATATTTTTTACTATAGGTGGCGCTACATATTATATCGTATCAGTATTACCTAATTTACATAAAATATCATACTGATATTGAATCGATGCTTCATTTGTTAACCTTTTACAACTATTCATGTACGATTTATATTGTAATCGCCATTGAAATATCTTATGTATTGATCACGTGTCAGGTGTATTATTATTTTAAGTTAACTATAATTATATTAAATTGTTTTTCATCATTGAATAAAATGACAATCTCCATCCAATCCGGCGTTTGTTTCGTCTTGTCTCGCACATAAAAGGGATATAAAAAAGAATATAGAGTTCCTTGATTATAATAACCACAGCCATGACCGACAGGCCTACACCCTGTCAGCTGATAGTTTTCTTGTTGGTTAGGCCTACTGTAAGGGAGAAGTCATCGGAATTTAAATGACACCAATGACCACGTATCACGAGCCCCGAATGATTGTTTACATCGAATTAAATAATTGTTCAGTACCAACTGAGGGGCAGATCTAGAGATTTTCTTACGGCGGCGGCGGGGGGGGGGGGTACAATATGATGTTCACGCCGCCACGCCCACCTCAGCCCCACCAATAGGCCCCTAAGTGGTAAAAGAAAAAAGAGAAAAGAAAGGAAAGATACATGGAAACATTAGAAAGGAAAAGAAAAAAAATTATAAGAAATATAAGAAGAATACGAATTATAAGAAAGAAAATGAAAGAAAAGATAAGGAATCTAAGAAAGATAAGAAAAGTAAAGGTCAGGAACATTTGAAGGAAAAAGAAGAAAGACGTCAAGATGCAAAAGGAAAGATAAATGAAAGGCTTTGGGAGGAAAGTAACAGTCCTTGAAATGATTCAAATTACCAAAGCATTGTAATAACAACATTTATTGATAATCATAAAAACCAATCATTTGAACTTAATTAAACTAAGCTAAAACCAAATAGGCCTATATGATAATATTTTTTTGGTACATTTGTTTTGGTTTTTTCTTCTCTGTTGTTGTTAAGCGCCTCGAGGTTGTGTCAACGTGAGACGCTATATAAATCCAGAATAATTATTATTATTATTAAATAATCGAGCTCTCCTCGCCCGATGTATCGCCACTGAACTCATGGGTGCACTCCCTTGTTAGCTCCTCCTCTCTTTAACTCATATTTGTCCCCCTCTTTTTTTACTTTCGGCTTGACTGACGAGAGGAGGGGGACACGGGCTCATTCCCCCCCCCCAACGCCACCCCGCTGGATCCGCGCTTGCAACTCTGATGACTTCAATCGTGTTTATTATGGTGATACCCTCTTTTGGAAAATTGTAGCTTCCCAACATTTTAAGTTTGCAAGCTCAGCGTGGGTCAGTGACAGTCAAAGCGACATCGAGGATTGAAACCCTACATTTTTAATCACAGTTAATCATTGTTTTGAGAACTTTTTACATCAGGTGACCTTGAACATGTTGAAAGATTCACCGAGTCATGTAAAACGTGCATGACTAATAAAGATGAAGGAGCGTTGCTTCTTAATACGAGGCCTACGGACCACCCCCAACAAGAGGGTACATTGTAGTCAGTTTTAATTTGATAATAATGTTTACCGTATGTGATAAAGGAGAGGGGGGGGGGGAGACACCTGTCCATATTAAACGCCGTAGTCAAAACTTTTCCCGACTTTGTATCCTGTACACAATATCTATTCGGTAAGTCATAGGCCTATGTAAAACGTTCATGACCATTAGAAACAAGTAAGGAGCGTTGCTTGTATACGGACCACCCATTGTGCTTAGTTAGTTTAGTACCGTACTTTGATATTATGTTTATGTCATATACTTTTATGAGTTATTGTTCTTTTAGGCGATTTTTGAGTAGAAGTAAATTTTTTTGTAATAAAAGGACGCACCGTTGTGTGGACGAGTGCCGCTGTTCTAAAAGCGTATGCTCCAATAAATTTGATTTGATTTTGACAATTTAGCTGATTTAATCGATTTTAGAGTCTACAATATAGGTTATAGGCCAGACGTCCAAATCCAGTTTGCCGAGACCACTTTGCCGAATTCGAGTTTGCCTACTGAAAATCAATGAATCCCAGTTTGCCGAACCCAGCCGAAAGTCATTTAAAAGCAGTATAAAACATTAGAGCAGCACATTCACCAT